TGTCCAGAGGGGCATTGTGGTAGATAGGTGATGAGAAACTGTCTCTAAGCGTGGCCACCTTTCTCTGGGTGAACACTGAAACCTATGACTTACTATCTGATGACTGTATTTATAGCCTGAGTGAAAGAAAGGGGATAACCAACCACAAAAATAAAACAACCAAAAGCACACCAACCAAAGCCAGGACAGGTGTGGGGGTAGGCTAGACAATAATGTTTTGTCTCTATGCACCCAGCTTTCAGCAGAGCTCACAAAATGTCTACTTTCTAATGAGTTTATTGCTCACATGTCCCAACTCCTCGTGATAATGGCTTCTGTTTTATAATGGGAGGTATCCTGGTGTGGTCCTTAAAAGGAAGTTTGTGCTGCTTCTACTTGTGTCTATTCTGTAATTAAATAAAGACTCCAGAGAAACTATTCCAGCACCTTTTCTCTGCAGTAAATTATCACCAAATAACGAAATATTTTAAACTCTCAAAGACTGTAACTAAATACAGCCAGAATTCCCCTACTTTCTGAATTTCTGCAAGAGAGCCAAATTCTCTGTGGTGCCTCAGGAGATCAAGGGCACTTACTCATAAGTGAACACGCATGCTTACTGCACTATACTTGCATTGTATTGGGAATAGTGCTGTCCACATGTGGAGATGGTGAATGCCTAAAACTCAGCCAAACAGTTCCTGTGCCTGAAATCCCTTCCTTGAGAGCATGGAGTCATTTCAGAATAGAGGCGTAAACTACATTGACTTTTTTTTTTTTCTTCTGTGTGTTCTGAAAGCCAAATGAATGTCTGTATTTACAGAGGACCACGAAGCAAATTCTGTGAGTGGAAGTCTACTGTTAGTGAACTACCAGTGCCAAGTGCACAGAGCCTGAAAAGCTCTGTTATTGAGGTCCAGCACAGGGTAGCTGCTGTGAAGAGCTGTCATCATTCGATGTCTCTTAAAAGCTTTTAAGCTCTGTAGTAAACATGGTGACTACTTTAAAACCAGAGCAGCCATGGGGTGCCAAATGTTCCCCTTGGAGATCTTGGGCAGTAACAACATTTCTGACTGTGTTAGTTGGATCTGAGAGGCAGGACAGTGGCTTAGTGCATTTCTGAGGTAGTCCACCACCTCCTAGTGTGACACCCTGGCATAATTCTTTGTAGTTCTGACTCATCTTTGACCTCTCAAACTGAACATTTTTAAACTGTCTTTTAGAAAATTTCAGCCAAAATACTCATACTGTTTTTAAATACAGAACAAGGAAAACACCATATTAGACGTATTCTGGAATTTCTTCTGAGAGCCCCTAGAACCTTTGTGGCTCGAGGGGGGGAAATGGAAACTTGCAAGCACATCCTCTGCATCAGAAATGGTTGTTTATCCCTTTAAAGAACACCTGACCATATTGTAACCCTCTGAAAAATCACTCATTGAATTAAGACTCCTTTATCAGCAATAGCCTTCATCGATGAGCATGGTCCAACTCCTGGACTATGAATGCACATCACTTACCAAACAAACAGCTAAAGGTGCCTCACCACTCAGCAGGTACTGGGTGCCCCCAGGTGTGCAGCCTCTGCTGTTTGAGCAGGCTTGTGCTCAGAAGCTATGAGGGCAAAGGCAAAACTTCCCCACAGTGCATGCTTAGCCAGAAGATTGGGAAAAGGCACAGGGATAGGGCAATGGACAGCAAGAGTCAGGAGGAAGCGTCCCCGCTCTGCTCTGCTTGGTTTTCTTGCTGGCAGGTGGGTAGAGAGCAGGAGAAGCTGGTGTGGCTGCTGAGGGGAAAGTGTAACCTGCCTGGGATGCAGTCCTTGGAGAAACACAGGAGAAGTGACTATGAGCCAGGATGCAGAAGACAGACTTGGTGAGCCAGGAAACTGGTGAAGGAAGCTGTCATGGATGAGGTGAGGTCTGGGATTAGCTGGCCAAAGAGGACAGAAGGTGGAGTGTGGATGGTGATGGTAGGGTCCAGGAGAAACAGAGCTGAAAGGACTTGGGTTGTGGACATGGAAGGAGAGAGTTGAAGAATGGTGATAGAAATGGTGGGAGAAGAAACAGCCAAGGAGAAAGGAGGGCAGCTGACATCAGGTGAAAAGACAAGAGCTGGATTTTCGCTTCAGCAAAGGAAAAGGAATGAGGGGGAACAGAGAAAAGGAAGAGAAAATAGGTGGCAGAAGACCTGTAACATCTGATCATGTTATCCTAGCCCTGACTGTAATGTGGGAACAAAGAGGCAAACGATATTTGTGTGAGCAATCTGACTTCGAGTATTCTGAGTTCTTGGAGTGCCTCCTTGCCCAGAATGCTGTCCAGTTTGGGTTTGTTTATGTGTGCACGTGTGCCATGTAGAACATCAAGAGGGCAGACATACATGAATGTAAAAGTACAGTCTTTCATAAGGTCAAGCAATGGCTGATGCTCCAGCACTATTTTTTTTCTCCTCTGACATTTGACAACAAGTATATCAGAAAATATCAGAAAGGTTCTTATTACTGCAGGTTCTCTGAGACAAGTGATTTGGATTGAACTGTCTGACAAACTAAAATCTCTCGAAGATTTTTAGTCCATCTCCCTGCACTTAGGAAGGCAAAACTGCTGTAGCTTGTCTCAGAAATAGGAGTTTTCTGGATTTATCTTCCTGCAAAGCTGAGAGCTCAAAAAAACTTGCCTTCTGCTTTACAGAGTTAAATCCAATGGTCAGCAGCAGTGACTTTCAGACCATAGTCTGTGAATCACAGAATGCACAGAGAGTTTTTACATGACCCGTGTAAAGGTCTTCAAGAAAACTGTTGCTTAAATTTGCTATAATAGCAATTTTTACTTATATAAATTAGAAAAAAATAAAAAAGCAAGTCCTTAATGGTCAGTGCAAACATATGGGGGAGACTGGGAACACTTCAAAATCAGACCTCAACTTATAAAGTGGCTGGTTCTATCATGCCAAGGTTTAGCATTGGGGTGCATGATTATTATTATTTTTTTATGCTCTTTGGCCCCCAGTCTGCTGAGCATCATTTTACTGACAAAGATAAATTGCCCCTGCCCACTGGAGCTTTAGGTTGTAGCTCCAGCTGGGATATGCTGGGAAGTAATCCTGAGACACAAAATCATCTTCTGAATATATTGCAGTTAACTTCAGTTGTATAAACCCCAGCATTAGCTGGATGCTATAAATAGGCAGGATGTGCAAGGAGGCCAAGTTGAAAATGTGCAGGAGCCATGCCTTTTTTCTTTAATGCAGCCCCAAAGAAGTGCTACGTTTCATCATGTATAATATTTTTCATCTGAAAAGGAAATGATACGCACGTGCTTTTTGGCTGTAGTAATTAACTGGGCGTAATGAAGCGCTGGATTTCACACTTTGCAGAAGTGGGTGGGGGAGGATGGGTAAGTTTTTCTTAAGTTTTCTTGCTTTTAGTGCTTTCTTGGAGGTAGTTTTCTGCGAGACTGGGTAGACAGCAGAAATACATCTGGTTTATATTATATAATGGCTGTACTTTGGCAACTGAGAAAGATGGCACTTGAAAAAAAGGAAAGAATAAAAAAGAGAAGCTTGGCAACTACAGAATGGAGCAACAATTATAAGAACTATCTTAAAATTCCCAGGATTTGTAATTTATTTTTCCACGTTTGCGTTTTTCTGATGTTGCTGATGTTAAAGGAGTGAGGTGGAGGAAATTCAGGAAGACTTCACCAAGCAGAGATATCTGCATGAAAAAAATCTCCTTTATTCAGGCTGCCCCCACAGCAGCTGCTGTGATTAACATGTGGGTGGTAATGAAAGGAATAGGAAGCAGGACCTTTATGTTCACTTTAAAAAAAAAAAAAAAAAGTAATAAGAAAATATTTGATTTTTTTTTTTCCTGGTGTTTTCTTCAGCTAGTTTTCTTCAGCTAGTGACCAGGAAGTAATTAAGATGTCCTCACCCTTAGCTGCAACTATGGGTATAAGGCAGAAGTAAAATTGATGCAGATGTTTTTTGGAAACAGAGCCATGTGAGACATCCTTGTGGTGGGAAAAGTTGTTCAAGCAATGCAACAATACCTAGTGATGTGGTCACCTACTGCAGTTTCCATTTTTTCTTTCTTCTGTGCATTCAGCCAGGTAACACCCTTCCTTCCCCCTCCCTCCTCCTGTCCCCTCCACCACTTTAACATAAGGTGGTCTTAAAATACAAGGAGCTGAAACCCATGTGGTAGACATTGTCATCTTTGAGTAAAGTTGGTGGGAGGCGAGGACACTGAGCATCTGTCTATATTCAAGCAAGGCTACAGGGTGTGTGACATGTGAGCCCTTTCCAAGAGTGCAGTAAGCGATGCATCCTCTGGGGCTGCTTTTTGCATCCTCTCATTTGGAGAATGGAATCCTTTGCAGGGCTGAGAGCTGGTAAGGGTGGGAATCTGTGCTTTCCCTGCAGCAGGGGCTGAGCTACATGACAGTCAGTACCCCCAGGTTGTTTAGCAACTTAGCTGACTTGAAATAGAACACTGGAACAAAATATGTTCTGAGTGATTTTTAACTAAAAGCTAATGTGAAAATGTGGGAGTTTGAACCAATGTAAACACATTAAATTTAAAGCGATTTTCAAATGTAGTAAAGAAAAAAAATAATAGAATTCCTGCCCTTGAAATTCCGAAAGGACATGTTTTTCCTTCTGAGCCGTGATTTAATTAGATTATATTTTATTAGACATTCTTTACAAATTTTAAAATACTGCTATTATACATGCACAAAGGAAAATCGGTTTGAACACTTGTATGTAGGCATTCACTGGAGTCAACCACAAAACAGGAACATTTGATGTCAGTTATCCATGTACTCGATATGTATATCTAAAGTGCATTATGTTACAAAAAAAAATATAGAAAGTCAGCAGCACCAGGATACGTTCACAAAATAAATACACCTGTCAACAAAATAAATTATGGCAAAGGTGACAATAATAATTGTCTTAGCCTTAGCAAAAAAAAAGGGGGGGGAGAAAAAAGAGGAAAATTCACAATAACCAAAAAAAAATTTACAGGTAATAAATATTTTAATACTTCCAATATGTTCACTATTACAGAATACTGCAATATGTCTTCCAAAAATCTCTTGCTGAAAATGTCAGCGCCTCCTGCAGAGATAAAAAAAGGACAGAAAAAAAAAAATAAAAGAAAAAATTAATTTCCAAATACATGGGCACAAAATTAAAAGCAAGAGTGCCACAGGCTATGACTGGTGTTCATGGCTAGCAAACACTTGAAATCACAGGGCCTGTGAAACAATGCTACAGTTTCAGACATCTTTGCAAGACCTCTGCTATATACCTTTCAGTGCAACTCAGCCAGCAGGATGAAGGTGTGCAGTTAGTCATGACACTGAGACCACCTACCCCACTATGTTTTACACTCGGAGAAATAGGAAGGGGCTGTGGTTTTCTGTAGAGCCTTGTGCAACAAGATTGCCGAGTGCTACAGGTAGAAAAACTGCATCAACCTGTAATAAATGTGCCAAGTGCTAAAAAGTTGGAGAAACTTTAATTTGAAGATGAGAAAATCTTTCTTCAGCACTGGCAATATCGTTAACTGTTTGGGTGTGATGCTGGGCTTCTAATTAAAGCAGTCCCACGGGCCTTATTTAGTCTTTCCCACTGACCACCTGATAGACAAGGGGCTGTTTATCTTAGAGGTTATATTTTTATACTGTCAGGTACATGAGTTCATGCAGTGCTTATCTAAGAAAGACTGCTCAGGTCTTGCAGTGAACAGATGCTTGGCAACGTGTCTTTAAGCACTTGAATGAATGAGAAAGCTATAATCCTGAACCTTGCCCTCTGTTGGTCCTGAAAGAAAGGGAGCATCTTGCCTTGCTAAGCTCTGACTCCTGTTGCATTCAGTCAGAGCTGAAACAGTCACCTGCACAGAGACTGAAGATTTGGGAGTTTTCTAAGTCATACTGGAAGGCTGGAATGAGTTCTGTATGCATCCCTTCCTTGTGAAGGCAGCAGAACAAAAGCAGCCTGCTCCTCCCCTGTCAGTGTAGTACTTATACTATAACATTCATTTCAGTTTTTTCTTAGTGCTGCTGCAGGAAATCCTGAAAGCTTGAGCTTTTTTCCCCTGCTGTCCCTGTGAGGGGCACCTTTCTGTTCTGCATATTAGTTCCCTGGGAAATAGCTATAGGATGGAATGTGAAGCTATAGGATGGAGCTGGACTTGCTGAAGCTGCAGGTGGTGTTCCACATGGCAGACCTGTGTGGGTGCCAGATACAAGAAAAAGCAAATCCTTGAGAGCATGAGAGGGTTTTTTTTTCATGTGCACAGTGAAAGGGAGGCTACATTTAACATTAGAGAGCCTACTGGTCTGAAAGATTTCTTAGGGAATTAGGTAGTAACAGCTTAATTGAATCGGAATGGGAATAGAGCTGGAATATCCATGTGAAAGAATTTTTTAAGAGCCTGGAATAGAAATGCTAGCATGAAGCTCTTTCATAATTAGCTAGTAGTATTAGGGTGTGTTCAGGCTATATTACAGTATGTATCATAATGGCACAAATTCATACTGCATGATTGTGTGTGTGCATCTGCACCACACACGCCTATTTTTAAGAGGGTGACATTTTTAGTTTGGCTTGGATTTTAGCCTTTGTTTTAGAGCTTAAGCTGAGCCACATCTTGACCATGGGCTCTGTATTAACTACTAGGCACAAGCTACTTTCTGTGATTTAGTCTCAGATTTTGCAAGATTTGCCTTTTTTATGAGATACTTCCTGTTGTAAGTAAAAAGATCCAAACAGGGCATTTTTTTTTTTTTACCCAAACTATCTTCTGGCTTTAACCCAAAATGTTGGGATTGAGATTGGCCAGAGGGCATTGGTACAGGGATTTTAGTGCGGTCTGTGGAGCGGAAAAGAAGCACAGAGATACAGTGAAAAGCATCCTTAAATCTTATCTTGGTAATTCCTTCACATTTGCCCTGCTGCATTATGCATATCCACTCCTTCTCTGTGAAGTAATGATACTTCTCCTAAGCTGCAGATAGTCTTAGGGGTGCTACAAATCAACTTCCCCTGCTGCAGCATCTGGAAATCATGTCTGCACACACCTTCCTTGCCCTCCATCCACAGACGGAGTCGAAAATCCTGATTCAGCTCAGTACAACTGAGGGATCAACCTCATTCATATGTGGTCACTCTTCCACCTAAAATGAGCTTAGCCACCTTGTGCCAACAATAGCATAGAAAACTGTGTTGTGTCTGACTACCCCTGTCTAAAATACATGTCAGGGAGTTGGGACCTACTTTCATTTAAATTTGGAATCTTTTGGCAGCCTACTGAGGCAAGTATAAGCTCATACACTATCAGTCTTTAAAGAACTGAACCAGCATACAATGCCCTGTGCATGTGAAGGGGGAATTTCATTTTCCTGTTTTATGGGTTCTTTTCAATTGATCATCTTCAACTGATTGTGTAAAATACAGGTCCTCTTAAGGAGTCTGTTTCTTGCCCTGGAGAGATACTGCGTCTTAGGCAATAATATCAGTAAGGTAAAGCTGGAGAGTGCCTTCAGTAGTCTGCACTCCACAGCAAAGCCAACTGCCTTCAGCCATCCAACCATGATTGAGATAGAAAGGCTAGGTAAGAGGAAAAAGTGAAGTACCTTCACCTAAGGAAAGAACTAGGTAAATCAGCAGGGTTGTACATGTCGCTCTTTTACATATTCTATGGGATATACAACCAAAGACAGAGTAGTAAGAAAAAGGAGTAACAGTAAAAATGCCCTAGGGTGGTTCTTCCCTACATTCAAGATTTCTATGTGCTGAAGACAGGTGCTGTGTATTGATTGGCCACCACAGTTCCTTAACACCTGTTGAAACATCAGGCACCTCCCGACTGGAGTCCCAGGGCGTTTCTTTCCTAAGGCACTGAGACCAACCAGCCTCTCTTACTTCACTACTGCTACGTCCATGCTGTTTTATGGTCCAGGACACTGAATGCCTAGCCCTTAATGCCAGTAACTGCTGGAGGTCCCAGCAGAAGTTGAGGTGATAGAGCATGTTGCAAAATGTGGCCTGTGAGGCTTAACCCAAGACTGGGTTATAGCAAATCCCTCAGCTGACCTCTCTTTCTAAGGTGTTTACTGTGAGCAGGTAGCACTTCTCTTATGTCTCTGTTCTCCCAAAGCAAAGGGGAGGAGAAGGAAGAAGTGTGGGTTTCTTGCTGTTGAAAAAGCAAACATTTAAGGAGAACTGAGGGGCGGACTCCTTGGCTTCAACTGCAAGTGTGCAGGCTTCCACTCCAACTGAGATGACTGCAAGTGGATGAGTCACTTGAGGCACCTCAACTGAAGCCTCCAGCTCACCACTGCTCTGGAAACCCTTCATTGTCATCCATGAGGGAAGCACGTCTCTCTCCAAAAGCAATGCTCAACATTTTTCAGCAGCAACGTAATTGTTTCACGAGCTGGCAAAAAAGATGGAGCTGAATTAAAAAATCTTAATGGCAGGGAAAATTTTATGGTGAAAGGCTGGTCTGCCTTGTTTGAAGATATTGCTAAGAGAGAAATTTTCCGTGTTCTCCCCTAAGGTTAAACAGTAAAATGAAAAACTGTAAACTAAAGGTAGGAGAGTTGCCAAAAAGGGGAGGCATTGAGAGGGAAGAAAGAAAACTTCGCCATTTTATAGATGCAGAGTCTTGAATAAAACTCAAAGCTTTCAATCTGCTGAGGCCCAAGTGTGGGACCAAGATCTGATGTGACAGACACTACAGTTAAAACAGGAAAAGACATTTTAACGTCTATGATGTGCTTTCTTTTTGCAGAAATAACTTCACTTCCTACTCACTCAGCTTTGGGAAGCTCATTCTGGCAATAAGGGGTTTACCTGATTTGTCTGTCCTAGGAAAGACTGATTTTGTCACAAGTGGAAAGGGTACTTACCTCCAGAAAGCACCTGCTTGAAAAGTCCCTGCCCAGTTATGAGCCCCAATTTGTGCTACTACTCCAGGTTTGAGTGGGGCCTTGACCTCACCCACTGATGGATAGCCATTTCAGAAAATATGTGGTGTGCCCCCCAAAAGGATAGAGCAGAATTACCTTAAAGTGTGATTATGTGTAGTAACAGAGTTGTCCAAGAGTGGGCTCTCAGTTGTGCCACTTCCATACATGCCAGGATTTAGCCAAGCTGAGCGGGCTCGCCTCTTTTTCTTCTCCTGTTCCTTACGTTTTCCAGGCTTGGCTTTCTTTTTCTTCCCCGATACCTTCAGGGGCTGCTCCTTGTAGGTCTGTGATTTGTTTGTCTCCTGAGTTAGGTATCTGCCCTCATCTTCAAATCGGACAGGGTAGTTCTTTGTGTTGGTAGCAGGCTTAGGGTTAGGTGAAACCTCTGAAGTTGCACGGATTTCCGCAGTGTTGACACCTTCAATTAAATTTTGAAGGAATATTCTTCTTCGTAAGTCTTGGATTGACTTGCCTTTGTCATGCAACAGCTGGTGCTCAGATACAGCCCGTTTGCTGCAGATAGAGAAGAGAGGAGGGGGAAAAAAAAACACATTTAGGATTTGGTTATTGCCCAGTACTTGGGCAGAGTTCTGCCAGTACTTGGCAGAGTTCCTCTCTCCTCTGGCAGTGGTGGCCACAGTGACTGTGTAGAAGCCCTCACACTTGGAGACATCCAGCTAAGTCAGACTGCTGGAGCAAGTTCTGCTTCTCAGAGTAGCTGTTCCCTACAGAGACAGGAAAGACCTAAGCGGGTAATAATTCTCAGCTGACCCATCACACACCACTGGACCAGGAGTTGAATTAGTCACTGCTCTTTTCTAGGAAAGCATTACAACACTTAATATATCACACTTCAGGCAGTAAAGGCAGGAAGGCAGTTGTCAGAGATAGCAAAACTAAAGGGTCAGATAATGGAGCACTGCAGTCAAGCAAGAGAGGGAATAATAAGCAATGTTATTGAAGCCAGAAGCGGTGTTTGTACAGCATCATTCTAATAATTTTCTTCTGCTCAGTCATGTACTTAAAAAACATTCATAAATACGTAAAAGAGCATTTCATCTCTGAATTTAAATAAGTGCAATTGCAAGAGCATAATGGGGAAAAAAAAACACTTGAATTTGGGTGCCTAAAACTTAAGCACTTCAGTCTATAATGAGCTACCCAGAGAGGCAGCATTCTGAGCATCAGCAGAGCTGAGCCTCATCCACTCTTGCTGATTTTACTGCTTGGCCACTTGTGTCTAATTATGCTTTTAGGTGCCTTTCTAGTATTCTTTTAGGCGTGAACTTTTGAGGCTGAGTTTTGTGCTAGCTCTCTTCTCTGGGTCTTCTTCAAGAGCATCCTGCTTTGTCTGAGTGGGTCTCTGGGACTTTTCCAGAGTTTGTGACCTTTTGGCTCACTAATTTCTGTCTCATTTTTGGGGAATGGGAGGTGCTTAGCTATCTGTATTTTAGACACGTTGTACCAGAAAAGAAGGTATGAAACATCTTAGGAAAGAAGATGTAAGTGGCACCTGGATAATATAAAACTGTGAGAAAATACATGCTTTTTCCTTGGTGTGGGATAGACACGCAGCTGCATTGTGAACCACAGAAAGAGCACAAACTGGGATTTTAGCTGTGTTCCCATGAATGCTATAATACAGTTTATGCTTCCAATTGCCCTACTTCAGTGTGCTGAGATTGGCTACATATCTTCTCATCTTGCATCAGGATACTGCATGTGACTGGATTCTTACTGGCCAAAGAAAATGAATTCACTGCCTTGCCTCTCTTACAATAATTTGGTCAGTTAGCTGGAGAAGAAGTTGTTTCTGCATGTGGGTGAAATGGGAGAAGACACATAACTGTGAATGAATATTCCTTCCTTCTGTCCCATCCCCAATTATCTGGCTCTGTTACCAGGTTTCCAAATGTGGTGGACAAAGATGGTATGCTAAATCACTGGGAGTGTTCTGCAATCTATCTTTCTCAGTCCTTTCAGCCAAACTCTTTAAGTTTGTGACTCACTCAACAGCAGAGCTAATTGAAATTGGCAACTTCAAGCAGCATTGGTTTAAGATCATCCCCTCCACTTTTTGTCTTTGTGAAGCTGCACTTTTAAAGTATTGTCTTTGAGTGATGGGTTCAAGTGCTAATACATCTGTGTTACTCGGTGTAAAATACACACAGCAGCTTTCCCCCATTCCACAATGAGACTCAAAGATGGCCATTGTTTTTTTTTCATGCAGTAGGGTTTGCTCAAAATCAGGCCTAGATATACTCAGACTTGTGAGCATGCATTTCACCAACCATTGTCTATGTTCTAAGCATCCCCAAATCAGTTTTGGATAACTTAAGGCTCTAGGGCAAGCATTTTATGCCCTTCAGCTTCATGTCCCAAAGCAAAAATGCAGTGTGATATAACCGAGCAGAACCCATCACATTTCGTTCTCTTCAGTGCAGCTGTAATCATTAACACAAGCTCAGGATCTCCCCCAGGGGAGTTTTTTTGACCAGTGCACTCCCTGAAGCTCTCCAACAGCCACCTCTAGCAACCTTCTCATTAAGGTCAGGCTGATTTGCCAGCATGCTAATAAAACTAGCACCTTGGGCTCCTCTGAGTGGCATAGTCAAGCCGTCCACTGCTGCTCATGGTACACTCCTAGCTTCAGTAGTCTGTTTTCCCAGGATATTTGCATGGGAAATACAGTTCTTCTTTCACTCTTCTAGTTTATAAAAAGCATACAAATCTTAGTGCTTTACTGAGCCTAAAACAGCATGTCTCATGTGATGAGCAAAGCTTTCCTACCGCCTCTTGTAAACTGCCAAGGATAATGCTTTTTATCACAGACAACCTAAAGCTGCCTTAATCCTGTAATGTGTGTTTGGTTAATTTACCCAACTGTGACAATATCTTGAATCTCTAAAGCCTGTTATTAAAGTCCTCCTGATTGAAAAGCTATTCCATTTTACAGAGCTGAAACCTAAAGATTTGGTTCCAGTACACACAAGGCAGTCAAAGAGCATTACAAGATCCACATCTTGAGTGAGTGTGCATTTCCAAAATAAGGCAGGGATTGACGTGTGAGGGGTTAGTGTGCCAAAGAGGGTGGGTTTCTGTTTAAATGTCTGTATGATATTTAGCATCAAGTCTGGCCCCAAATAACATTCTGCTGTTGCAGATGATTGTATAACATTACGTAGTGTTACATTTCACATGACTTCTATTACTCAGCCAGACTTCAGGATTACATTTTGCCTACCAATTTCCTTTGTGTGCTCTAGATTAAAAAAAAAAACTCCTTAAAAACAAAGATGTGGCAGATCTGTATCTCTTTGACCTTCTGCCTCCTGCCTAAGTTATTCAAACAACTCCTGTGTTTGTAAATCAAGGAAAAATACTTGCCCAAGGAGGTTGATGTAAGCAGTGCTTCACAATGGAGATATCAACAGTATCTCACCCCCACACACGGAATAGGAAGGCAATGGAAAGCAGAATGATTGCATTCACATGTTGGATGTGATATGCAAAAATATTAGGCTGTTAGGGTTAAGATGACCCACTAGGGGTCCCTTCCATCCTTCTATAAAATCCGCCTCTCATTCAAGGAGAAAGAGCCTGACCCCAAACCAAGCACAGCAAATGCTAAGCTTACATGTGGTAGACACTTCTGAGAGAAGGATGTTGATGGTTTCTATTTGACCAGAGTGTCCAAACTAATCACTGTATCCCAGTACACTGTGCACATCTAAGACTTAATGTCTTGTAATGGGGAAAACAGTAGAAATCCATGACTTGTGACTATCCTGACTTCATGTACTTTCAGATAAGCTGTACTTTTCAGGCGCAGTCCTTCTTTTTTTTGTTCCCTGCAGATATCTAGCGTCACTGAGAGGCAACATTCTTCAAGCAACAACTTTCTGTCTCAGAGTTGCTCTTGTTTAACCATTATTATCCTTGACTTTCCACATTTTGCATGTTCATAGGTTCAGCAAAAAGATGGCAAAGGATTCAGTCAGCTTTCTGCCTGGATTTTGCAAGGCTGAGTGCCCTTGCCACTGGCTCCAGAGGGAATGAAAGCTGCTCAACCTATCTCAGGGTTAGGAAAAATATTTTTAACAGATCTGGGGACATGATGCTACAGTGTCTGGGCAAGCTGATAAAAAGATCTAATTTCACTTTGAGGCATTACTGGGTTTCTCTGAAGTTCTTCAGCAGCTAAAGCATTTCTATAACAAATAATAAGTCTGGCAGTCTTTTCTTGGGACAATTTGCTATTGCTTTTAATGGGAGATTTGTCTCAGTAAACTCTGTAGAACCTGGCCTATGTAATTTTGATTATTTATGCATAGCTATAATATTGTGCTTCAGTATTTTCACCCGTTCCTGGTTTAAGCCTTTGACAGGGGAAAAAAAAAAATAATAAAAAAATCTCTAGGCTTAAGTGAGTTATTAACCATTAACTCTAGGAATGGTTTGTGGTGACATTAAAACAGGACACATGTTTGAGTGTGGTGTCTGTGTTTGTGCTGTGCCCACAAACAAAACTACGTGAATGCCACTAACTGACAGCTAACTGGTTTCTTCTGTGTGTTTTACATGCCATTGACTGTTTAGCTTCCACTTTTTTCCCCCCTGTCAGGATGGAATGGGGATGTTGCTAAGACCTCTAGTCCTGACCTTTAAAAACAAGTGTTAAAGCAACACCAGCTTCAAAAAGAGAGAGAATATTTCTTAGCAAATTTAGCCTTTTTTAAAAACAAATTTGGCTTCGATCCAGGTCAGAGATTTTTAGCCAAGGAAAACCAGCATTTTACTGTACTGCAGTTATTTTCCTTTTCTGTTTGTTTCTGAAACCAAAGGTTGGTTCCTCTGTATCCCAAGGGAAGAAAATGGTCTCAAATAGAAGAAGTAGCTCAACAATAATTTGCAGGAGTACAAAACAGCTCAGCAATAATGGAACGGGGAGAATACTCTGTAGATTTATCAGCAATAACATGTTCTACACAGTTTGCTGTAGGAGATGTGTAATAGCTGCCTGTCTGTTGCCAAAGTTTAGGTGTGTCTAAAGTCACTTCACCTGAGGGATTTTTTTGGTTGCTTAAGTGGCAGAGGAAGTACTATTTGGAGACCTTGTTCTTACGTATGTAACAAAGCAGTTACAAGAAAACCAATCTGAAATTGTTTGCCGTGTCATGTTTCCTTGCAAATTGTGATTGGATTTTCCAATGTGCTTTCTCCAATCTGACTTCCTTTTGAACTTGCTAACAATGCAGCCCTCCACAGCATGACTGAGTGTTTCTTCCTTAGAAAATCTGATGCAAGTCCAGTGAAAACCAGTGACTTAGATGTGTGAAACAGCTGCTCCTACATCATCCCAGCAGCTTCTCTTCTGCACTTCTCATAGGGGGTATAAGTATAAACCAGGTTGATTATTTTGGAAAGAGCAAAGAGGTCACTTCCTGAACACACAAGTCACATTACAGTTTATCAAAAAAGCATATTTCTGCCTCCAGGTCAGATACTGGATGGACTCCCTTTGGATATTTTCATTATAATGTTATTTTCCTAAAGTGACAGAAATCCAAAGAAATTGTTCACTACTTCAATTCCGTGGTGGCCCTCACTGACGTGTTTCCCCCCCCCCCCTCCCCCAATCGATATTGGCTCCATGCCAGGGCCGGAGAAGGGCAATGGTACTCGGCGTGACATGCAGCGGTTTGACAAGCCGGGATGCTCCCGTCCCAGAGCGCAGCGAGGGGTGCAACGGGGCAAGAAGAGCACGGGCTGGGCAGGTCCCCAGCTGCTCCCCCTCGGAAGAAGAGACCCTCAACTTTAACATCTCCTTCCCAAACGCTGTGTAAGTTCGGGCAGCTGAAATGCGCCCGTTTCCTGCCCATCCCTGAGACACCGCCGGTGAGTACCTGAAGCAGGTAACCCGGGGCGGTGCCGGGAGCGCTGCTGGCGGCTGCGAACACCCCCAGACCCCTGGCCCCGGGCTGCCAGCCCCCCCGGGGCCCCGTCACCTCCCTCCCCACCCGCAGAGAAGCGAGAAATGGGGGGGAGGGGGGGGGGAAACCAAACCGAGAGAAACTCACAGTCTGCGGCTGATCCCCTCGACTGATCTCCCGTAAGAGGGCACGGAATAGCTCAGCAGAAACACGGCGAAACTCCACTGCTGGAAGAGTTTAGTGAACATTGTATCCTCCGGCTCCTAAAACCTGCAAGGAAAGGGAGGTCAGTCCCGAGGGACACATGCGGCAGCGCCGTCCTCAAGAGCTCCCCGCTTTCGGCTCTACCAGCTCCGGGGCTGTGAAGTCAAAACAAACTTTCTGAGCTCTCGGCAGCTGCTCACTTCTTCCAAACTTCGGTCCGTCTCTCTCCCTTGTTGACTGTCTCTCCTTCCTTCCCTCCCTCCCTCCCTCTCTCTGTCTCTCGCTGCTGGGAGGCAAGATTTCTCTCCAGATTAGTTGCAAAAATCGTCTGCTTCGGATTTGAACCGGGCTAGAGGCAGCGTTCGTCTGGCTGCCTGAGCCCTGCTCAGTTCCAGCCCTCTGAGCCGCTGTCTGTGCGGCTACAGGACGAGCCCTCTGTGCAGATAAGGAAAGATTCCCAAAAGTCAGCTCAGCTCCTCTCTGTAAACACACATACACACACACAGGCACAGAGATTCAGGCTAGGGCGGGGGGAGACAACCCATCTGTACATGTCTTTAAGGATACCTCTGGCGAAACCAATCAATCAATCTATATCTATCATTATATATATATAAACACACTGTCAGGTTCACGTCCTTTGCTTCCGGAAAGCTGGGTCCCTGACAGTGACAGAGCGGGGAAGAATGAAGCGCTGCCTGAGCTGGGGAGCCCGAGAGGTGTGAGGGGAGGCCGAGGGACCGGGAAGCAGCCGCAGGTTGGGCTGGGCTGGGCTGGGCTGGTTGGGCTGGGCTGGTGGAGCCCGCGATGTTCACACGCTCCCGAGCAGCCGCTGGGAGACCTGCGGGAGGACGCAGGGCTTTGCAAAGAGATGGCGCCCTCGGAACATGTGCAGAGAGAGCGGACGGGATACCCAGAGCCAAAAAGGAGACTAGAAATCAGCGCTTCCCGCCACCGGAGTCAAAAAGGAGCGGAGAAAGGGAAACACCCGCCAGCACACGCACCCAGCAGACCCTGAGGACGCCTACCAAGCTCTTTCGCATCTTCTGCAGCCTCTCCCCTCTCTCTGTTTCCCCCCCAACACCTCTCCCTTTTTGTGTTCACCCCTCGGTCAGCGCCTCCCCTGCCGCAGCGCAGCGGAAAGGGTCGCTCTCCCCATCCGTGGGGATAGTTTCCAGCTGAAGCCCCAAAACCCTCCTGGCCCCTGCCGCCTTGCCTTTCACACACCTACCGTGCGTGGTTCGCCGCAGTTCCCCTATTTGCTGGAGGGCTGATTCCTAATGCTGCTAATTGTACGCGAGTAACGGGGAGGGGGAGTTAAGAGGGAGGGCCGGGGGAAGAACTCGCCGTCTATGAACACAGGCGCTCCTGGCCAAAAAAAGTAAATTAGTGGAAAGTTTTCTCCTCCTCTCCCTCTTTCGCCTTCCACTTCGCCCTCCGTCAGTCCGGCCAGGGCGTTGCAAATGTCTGTGTCAGGTTGCGCTGCCATGCGGTGCCCGGGGCTGCGGGGGCACTGCCAGCTCCCCAACACCCCCCCCCCCCCCCGCCCCCCCGCACCT